TTCACTCTCTCCACCACCCCCCAGCAGCAAAACGAGAGGATGGAGGTGGCCAAGTATTCTCTGTCCCCAACCATGCTGGCAGCCTCCTCAAGATTGTTGCCCCCCCCGGAGCTGCCCAGGGAGAGAGCCCCCAGCCTAGGGAGAGAGAGCAAGCACCTCTAGCCCAGGCAGCTGCCTGGGTGGTGTGGGCAGGGAGGCCAGGGCTGCCACCCCACCAAAGGGGCAGCAGCAGAGCCCAGAGGCTGCAGGGATGGGGGAACAGCCGTGGCTGTTCTTCCAGAGTGCCCCCAAGGTTGGCAGCTACCGGAGCAGGGCCCTACACAGACCCCAGCACCATACCAGTGCCCAGGCTGGGAGGTTGTGGACATAGGCCAGTGCTGAGCTGGTTGAAACTGGATGGTGCCCACCCCACCAGTGGTGCTGTGCTGTGCCTGGGGCAGGCAGCCCTCTGGGCTCTGGTCCAGGATGAGGGTGGGAACTGGGCTGGCAGAGCTGATGGGAGGCAGTGGGGGACAGGGCTTGCAGCAGGAGTGATCAGCAGTGTGTCACCAGGACTGCCTTGCCTGTCTCTGGACCAGCAGGGGGTGAGGGGGTGGGGTGGGGGATGTTGGGGTGGGGACACAGCACAGGCATGTGTGGACAAGGCAGGTCTCTTCCTACATTGCTTCAGCATCTGCTGGAGAGGGAGGGTGAGCACAGCCTGAGCAGGGGTTGACTGCCAGCGCCAAAAGCTGGGGCAGACAGCACCAGGATGGCAAGGGGGGCGGGTAGGCAGCACCCATTGTAGGCAGCATGCGCTCTTCACAGTGCCAGGAGTGGCAGAACTGTGGGTATCGAAGGGTGGGCAGGAGCTGAGTGAGGCTGAGGGCAGCAGTGCCCAGTGCCAACAGGACCCTGTCCCAGTCCCCACAGTGGGGCAGCCCGACCAGGGCTGTGCTGAGGGATGTGTCTCTGCAGGATGCTGGTGGACTGCGTGCCCCTGGTGGAGGTGGAAGACATGATGATTATGGGGAAGAAGCCAGATGCCAAGTGTGTCTTCACCTACGTGCAGTCCCTCTACAACCACCTGCGTCGCCACGAGTTGCGCATGCGGCAGAAAGAGTGCTAGAGCCTGCCCTGCCCACCACCCTGCTGCCCCCTGCCCTCAGGGCTGCCGGCGGACAGGGGAGCTGCCTGCCCCAGGAGGGTCTGGGGGAGCCAGCAGACCAGCGCTGGGGATGGGGGGCTCTGCCACTGGGGCGACCCCATGCCTCTGCCTCACTGGAGTTCCCTCTGCCCTGGCCGGCTGCGGTCTGACCCCGCAAGCAGGGCCAGGCAGGTGCTGCCAGGGATGCTCCCCAGCTTGGCTCGCCTTGGCTCGCCTCCTGCGCTCCAGCGTGTTAAGTTATTTGTTCTCCAGGAGTTGTTTGTCCCGTGGGAAGCACCCCTGTGTCCCTGAGGAGGCCTGGGCATGGCTGCGCCCTCAGGCCCAGGGCTGATGTGGGTCGGCAGTTGAGCACGGTTGTGCAGCCCAGCCTGGGTTGTGGTGCATCCCGCAGGCAGCATGCCCATGTGTGGTTCTTTTTGGCCCCCTGTGAGGAAGCCCCTCTGCCCACTGCAGACCCCGCTTGGTGCCACCTCCTTGGGGACAGCTCCAAAGCCCCTGTGCTGACACCCTGCTTCCCACTGCGCACATGCACCCTGGGGTGCTTCCACACTGGGGGGAGGGGGGGAGCTGCAGCACCCATGTTCTGGGGAGGAGGCAGGGAGGTGAGGGGTCCCAGGGGAGCGAGGAGCCCAAGGAGAGAACTGGGATGGCAGCCCCTGCTCTCCTCCCCAGCTTGGGGCACCACGTGCTCAGCGTTGCTTGCCCCTCCATCACTGTCTCTACACCCGCGTTGACATGTGTATCAACACCAGCCAGACAATAAAGGTTTATTCTATAGGGTGATGCCTCCGCCTTGGGTCTTTCTCCCTGGTTGCACTACTGCTTCATGGCACCAGTGCAGCCAGGCCCTTTCCCTGCAGGCTCACTGCTCACCCGGCCCGAGGGTGGACATGGGGCACACACACACTGCTCCTCCAGCTCAGGGGCAATGCCCAGAGCTGAGGGGCACCAGCAGCATCCTACCCTGGCCAAGGGCTCTTGGTTTGCTGCCCTGCGCTACCCCCAGGCCTGGCACAGGGAGAAGACCCCATGGTGCCGCTGAGGCTGTGCAGAACCAGGTATGTAGATGGTGCAGCTGTGCCCTGCTCTCTTTCCTGGCCAAGGGCCAGATGTCCCTGCTTGGGCCAGCACAACCATTGGGCTGTGGCTCAGCATGGCAGGACCTACTTGTGGGCTTGCATCCATCCCTCTGCACCCCCACAAGGGCAGCTGATCCCAAGCTGTGGTGCCTCATCCGTCCACTCATCCATCTACCCATCCATCACACTGAGGAGGGGGTAGCACAGAACAGCACTGCTAGTCTGTGGGACAGTTTGTCAGCTCACCAGTGGTGGTTGTGCACCTAGGGTGAACCTGCTGCCCTATCCCACCTCTGTGAGCGGCTCTGGGACACACAGCTCCTCCTGGCACCTAGTACAGAGCAGTATGGGACGTGTTCCACTGAGCCCTCCCTGGAAGAATGACATGGTGCAGTTGATTGTACACAAGGGCTTTACTGGGGGTTCCATAAGAGACAACCCTGCTGGGCTGAAAAGCCATACCCCCTGGGGGGCAGCTCTCCCACCTCCAGGACGCAGCACATCTACCCTCAGCACCTTGTGCTTTCTGCTGAGGGTTTCATCCTGTCCCACACAGGTAGGATACCACTGCCCAGTACCAGGAATCAGCTTGGGGCATAGTGAAGGGCACAAAGAATGCTGCTCCTGCAGACCCGCCAGGGATGCCAGGCTGCAGGGGAGGGATTGCAGCAACAGGCACACAGGACCCCCAGGATGTCTGCAATGCCCAGGGAGCCCCTGCTCAAGGCTGGAGCTGCTCAGGGCAACCTTGGGGCAGAGGCTACACAGCGCCAAGAAACAGTGGGGGCAATTTTGCCACCCCACAACACCATCCCCAGCTGCTGTAACGGCCTTGTCCCTGCACAGTGGGGACTGGCTGCAGGACCCTCTCCCGAGTGCAGCACCCCTTGCTAGAGGTCTGGGTGTTCTCCCTCTTCACATTTAGGTGGGGTCTTGCTGTCAGCAGCAGGAGCTTGCGGGGGTGGCAGGGTGGGCAGAGGCCTGGCAGGGGCAAACTGGAACTCCTCAGGCACAGGGGCATCAGGCGTCTCCTTGCGGTAGAAGCCCAGCTCCTGCACCAGCTGGTTGATCTCCTCCCGGGTCATGTCACTCAGGGGGATTCTCTGCACGCAGATAGGGATTGTAGCCTGGTGCCTGCGGGACACCAACCACCCCAGACCCTGCTGCAGCTGTGGGTTCCGTGCTGCCCGCTCACCTCCAGCTCCTCGTATTGGTGGCTGAGGAGCACGAGCTCGGGGTCAGCGCCGGGCAGGTGCTTCATCTCCAGGTTATGGCTGGGTGGTGTGTTAAGGAGCGGACAGTGCTGGGCAGGCCCATGTAGCCCCCCCCATCTCATTCCATCCCCCATCACATCCCATTCTCTCCCATCTGATCCCCTTCTGTCCCCCATCCCATCCCATCCCATCCCCCAGTGCATCCCATTCCATCCTGACTCATCCCATCTCATCCTCCAGCTCATCCTTCATCACATCCCATCCCACAACCATCCTGTCCTCCACCTCTCATCCAATCCCATCCTCCATCTCATCCCATCCCTCAGCCCATCCCATCCTCTCCCATTTCTCATCTTGCCTCACCCTGTCCTCGATTGCATCTTGTCCCGTCCTCCATCCCATCCTG